TCCTATCCTCTACTATCCCCCCTCCCCTCCCCTCCCCTCCCCTCTTCTCTCTCTACCCCCACTACTGTAATTCATTCCTCCCCCTTGTACTGTTTTTCCCTTTCCCCTCACTTTCCATGGGATCATTTCCAGGCCTGCTCAGAGCCTTCCTCTGCAGGGTGAGGGGTACAGTTCATTTTCTGGTGACCCAGTGGTAGAGATACTTGTTGACCAGGCAGAAGCCTCAAGGTGCACTTTTAAGTCTTGAGAATCAATGCTCTGGCAAGTGGGAAGGAAGTGTCCAGAGGCCTTGGGAGTCAGTGCTCCCTGGGTTCAGGCTGTGTGACTCCATTCTTCTGCTCCTCTAGCCTATTTCCTCATCTGAAAACTGACGGAGCCATCCTTGCCTGGCCTTACATTCATGCTGATGTGAGGGATGTGACTAGTGCAGTGCCACTGATAGTCTGTAGTGGTCACTAAGGATACATAACAACTTTCTATCATCACATTATTCCACTTTCACCAATGCCTCTCTCAACCCCATTCAAAGTCTTAAGTTATGAGGGGAGGGTGGCTCTATCTGGTTGGTTTAGGGTCCTAAGAGCCACTGCTATAGTCTCAGCTCCATCTAGTGTCCACATCAGGACACAGCTACACATAAGAACTTGCTGCAAATCTAATTTCCACACTTGCATTGAGCACTCATTAAGCAAAAGGGACAAAAATAATATCAGTTTAAAAAATTCTTCCCAGTACTAAGCTTTGGGGTGTCAAAGCAGGTATTAGAATGTCTAAGGTTTTGTGTATACTGTCTTTGAAAGGATAACAGATTTATGCAACAAATAATAGTTAAATATTATAATAATTGACATTTGTTGAGCACTTCCAATGTGCTGGATAAATTCTGAGTGTTTGAATTGTGTAAGTTTGTTTCACCCTCAAAATGCCATGAAATGGGGCGCTTATTGTGCTATTTTAGACATAAGGCCACTGAGGAAAAGAGAGATTAAGTAAAAATTGTCACTTGGCTAACTCCCAAGGGAGGCAGAGGCTGCCCAGAGGGGCAGAAGATGAAGAGGGAGCTAGATAGAAAAAGAATGCAAGACCTGAGAGAGGATGGGGGTCTGGCATGGTCCACAGGGTCTCAGACTGGAGTTGAGAGGTGAAGAAGTGTGGAGTGTGGTTTGCTTTCCAGCTTGAGCAATCGGGTGGAAGCTGTGATCCCAGAGGGAGTATAAGTATAGGATCAATAGTCAGAAGATATTTATGGAGCATCTACTGCATGCCAGGTACTGGGCTATAGGATTCAAGTACACAAGCATGGCCCCTGTCCTTGTAGATCCAAGCCCTATGGGGGAAGGCAGACATCAAAGGCTGCTGATGAATGCTTACTGTGTTATACAGATCTAAGCAGAAGGAAGGTGGGTGGAGTGTGGATGAGCCTGAGCTGACAGGCAATGGGGATTGGGGCTGGAGGTGAGGGTCACCACCTTGGAGGACTGGACAAGGTAGTTAGGGAAGGATGGTTGATCCATAGAAGAAAAGATGGTAGAGAAGGAGGATGTGCTGAGGAAATGTATGCCCTGAGTGGTGGAACAAGAAGAAAAAGTTTATTGGAGTCTAAAGACAAGATTTGGTGGGAAAGGGAGTGGACAAAGGGTTCTTGTGTCAGTGAAGCATTGGGCAGGACAGGCACTGAAATTGGACAGGACTTGGACTGGGTCAGAGGAGTTCAGAATCGTGTTGGGCAGAGGGAGTTTGCAGATGGGGTGTAGGCAGGAAGGGACAAGAATGGAGTGGAACATGAGTTCCTCTTCCAGGAAAGGAAGGAAACAGCTTGTGGTCTGAAGAGAAGCTGAGGTGAGGACAGGGCTGTTTTCTGTTTTAGGAAGGAGGAGACTGAGACATATTTAAGGGCTAGTGGGAAAGAGCTCTTGGAGAGGGCTAGGTAGAAGTCCTGGGAGAGGGAGGAGCAGCATGTCCTTGGAGGAAGATCAGATCAATGGTGAGAAACGAAAACACCGGTGAGGCAGAGGGATGAGGGGAGGAAGAAGTACAGTGGGGATAGGTTTGAGTAAGTTTATAGAGGAGAGGGAACCAAATGGGGAGCAGGCAGGAGGTGGGAAAGCTGGGCCTGCTTGGAGAGGACTTGCAGAATTTGATGAAGGCCTGGAGGAGGGGGCGAGGTGCAGGTGCCTCAGTGGGCAGGAGATTGGATTAGTGGGCAGAGTGGGATTGCTGAGTTTTTCTGCAGGGAAAGGCCAAGGTATGGTGGGTCAGAGCAGGAGGTGGGTCCTGAGGGCATAATGGAAACCACTGGGAACAGGGAGGGGAGTCAGAAGAGGACAAACTAAGAGGAATAAGGGACAGAATTCACAGTAGGATCAACAAATGAGGTATGTGTGGGGACTAAAGCAGAAATGGGAGCCTGGGGAATTTAGGTCAGGGGTGGGATTTCATTTATTTATTTATTTTTTAGTTGTTGATGGACACAATACCTTTATTTTTGTGTGTGTGTGGTGCTGAGGCTTAAACCCAGTGCCTTCTACACACAAGGCAAGCACTCTACTACTGAGCTACAACCCCAGCTCCAGGGTGGGATTTCTGAGTAAGGCTTCAGGAATCACCTTTACGACCAGTGCCAGGCATGGCTGAGGCAGAAACTCTGAAGGAAATGAGGCTATCTGACTGGAGATGGCAGGCAGGATGGGCAGAAAGTGTGGGGAAGATGGGTTCAGCCAGGTTCAGGTCAGAGCAGCTGGAGAAGAAGGGGAAAGACTTCCAGCAGAAGGAGGAGGGAGGCAGAAGTATGAGCCACCTCCAGGGTGCCCTCTGTCCTTGGCACCCAGTTTCAAAGGAATGAGAATGTGTCATGTGAGAAGCTTCATACCAATTCACAGCATCTGAGGCAGGAGAAAAACACCAAATGCAGATACAACCTTATTGTGCTGCTTTTAATTACGAAAGATGTAAAATGATGCATTATAAAACTTGAAAGCTATTTTATACAAATTCCAATCTTTAAATATCATTTAACAATGGGCCCTGGGATCCAGGACACTGGCAGAAAGTCTGATTAGCTGCTGTGATGGTCCCATCCATGAAGAAATGGAGACACACTAGGAACCACCTGTGCATAAATCAGAGGAGCCACCAAGGGTTAGAACCGAAAATGTCTTCAAATATGCGCATGGACTTGGATACACAACATTTCAACTCAGGTAATATACAGTAGGCTTAGGAGAAAGGAAATAGGACAAAGGAGAATTGATTTTTGTTGTTGTTGTTTTGTGTGTGTAGTGCTGGGGATTGAACCCAGGGCCTTGTGCATGCAAGACAAGCACTCTACCAACTGAGCTATATCCCCAACCCAGAACTGATGATGTTCTTGATCTGACCAAGAAAATTTTTCTCCTAATACCGTATGTCCTAAAAACCACAACCATACAGAAATTAAAAATGGAAACAAATAGGTTTTTAGTACTATGATTTTTAACTGCTAGTAAATGAGAGTAGTATGATTGATGTCTTGTGACAAAACTAAATATTCAAAAATAGTTTTTTTTTTTTTCTGAAGTCTATAGCTATTTCCAATGCTAAGGACCAAGGCTGGCTTGTTACAAAGGCAGCAGTGAGTGCAGGCTTACATGCTGAGGGGCAGGTAACACTGTCCCCGGTGTCCCTAATACCATCTAGGTAAGGCGGGCTTTATAATGCCCAGAATCTTTTCACAAGAAAAGACCAGACTGACAGAGCTAAGGGCAGATTTAATTCAGTGCTAAACCACATTGTCCTCATTACTGACTTCCCCTGGGTGTCTACACTTCTACAGTAACCTAGAAAATGTCCCAGGGGCAGTGCAACTCATCCTGTGGGTCTTGGGGTCTCTGTTGCAAGGCAGGGCTGCTGTGTAACGTGAACTGGGACTCTGATGCTATGACTCCCATGAGTAAGGTACTATGCAAAGAGCGGATTACGTTGGGACCCCCCTTTCCTCAAATAACATACTCTTATGACATCTGTACCATTCTCTGTCTGAAAGGCAAGATCTGATTTGGGGGCCTTTGACGTAGGAGCTGGCTTCTATTAGCACACTGGGGTTTTGGGTAGCTTTACAACTGGAAGGCACTTTTATTTTAACAAAAAGTTACCCCCCTCTGAGATCTACATAAAGGGATTTGAAAGTTTAATTGGGAATAAGGCTTGCCAGGGGAGGCCAAGAGCCCCTTCCTGAAGCAGAAATCAGGCAAGGAAGACTTGGTTGGTTTCCTAATTTAACAGCAGATTCAGGGAAAATGGTAAAAACAGGAATTCTTGGGTTCCAAAGGTAGGTGGAGTGAAGGCACCATCAGAGTTGTTTGAAAAATCAGAGATAAGGCCAAGGATTGAGGTCTGGAGAGCCACCCAGCCAGGGTCCTCTACCAGACGCTTCTTGCCATAGGCACAAAGGTGTCAGATTCAGACCCTCCTTGTGTAGTCTTAATTCTTCGGGTGGGAGCAGTCCAAGCAAAGGTTCTAGCATCTTATCCCTCCTCCAGGGCTCTCTTCCTCCCCATGCTGTCTTCTCATTGCTTAGCTCTTCCCTTTCAGTGCTCTGTGGGAAACGTCATGTTTTCCGTTCAGGGGCTAAGTTAGAGGAGGCAGATGGAAATATGATCAAACCATTTTATGATAAGGTATTAATGAATAACCATGAACCAAAATTTTATTTACTATAAAATTACTTCTTCTACCTCAAAGCATGTTTGAAGTCATTTACAGAAAAGCATGGATCTGAGAGGGAAGATCTTTTGAGGTGGAGGCCTAGTCAGGATCCCTTAGGTACCAGCACTTGGGGGCCTTGCCACTTATCTGCTATGGAGCATGATCCCAAGTCTAGTGGTAGATTTGGTCACCTAGTGTTAAAAGCATATTAAAGTGCATGCTTAACTTAAGCACAGACACAAGCATTAGAACAGCTAAAGCTCTGAGAAGATTTGGTAGGGAGTGGGATAGCTATAGATTAGACTGCCTTACAGCATGGCAGATCTGTTCATTCATTCATTCATTCATTCATGCACACGAACACACATGTGTGTATTCAATACACAGTCAAGAGGCACTTATTCCATGCCAGGCACTTTTTGGGTACTATGGGTTAAATACGGAATAAGGCACAGCCCCTGCCCTCTAGGAGCTTATGGTCTAGACCCACAGAGAAGCCACTCTGGGGAGGACAGGGAAATTCAGTTGCTGGGTGAGTGAAAGAACCTCCATCTGCTCCTTCCAGTTGGTGTGTAGGGAGAACTGTGCTTGTCTGGAGTTTGTCTGGAGGTCATCCTGTGTCTGAGATACCTACAGTCCCCTCTCTTTCTTGCCTAGTCTCCAGGAAGGAGCATGTTCTACTCAGGCTCATCCATTACCAGGGATCTTTTTTCAGTGATTGAATAGTCTTCCTTTTCCTCCTGTCCATAAGGAAAAGGTATATTGAAGCAGCAGTAAAGAGATTACAAACTGGGATAAAAACTAGCAGTTGGTTTGCTGAACTCAAGCCTGTCCTTGGACTTGTGGTTAAACTTCTTCATATTATAAGTAAGGCATCTGAGAGAAATATGGCTCTTGCCTAAGCCCTGGAATGTCCTCCAGCTGGAGGGTGCCTGGCCTTAACAGCCAGATCGAAGAGGGCATTGTGGTGCTTTGGTACCGTTGCACAATGCTGAGCCAATGCTATGGGCCCACAGCTTCTGCCTGCCTCCGGTGTCTTCAGTCCCATGTCCTGTCTTCAGTGTTGAGATCAGTGGTTCTGAGCACTACATGACACTACTGAGGCCTCCCATTACATGATATTTTCTACTTTTACGTATTGACCAACTAAACGGCCAATAAAAAGATGGAGGGGTCACAGGATGAGCTTTCCAGTTCACTGGAAGCTCTAAAGCAGCCTGCCTGCAGCAGCACAACTTGTGCCACAGGCTTTGGAGGCAGGACATAGCTGTGTCTAGAAAAAGCCATGGAGTCTGAAACTGAACCTCAGCTGAAAGCTTGGAACCATGGGGTTGATTCCTTCCATGTCGAGATAACTAAAGTCCAGGGTGTTCATTGGCTCCGTTCTATTTTTGCTTTGTTTTGGCTGTTTCAGGGATTTTCCTGTTCTGGTGCTTTCTGCTCAGAGTCGGTCAGCTCGAAATGTCTCTTCCACAGAGGGGTCCAGCAGACCCATGCTGGAGTCACTCAACATGCTGAGTCCGTCCAGGCTCAGGGGTTCAATTTGGAGCTCCTCTTCCAATGGAAATGGAGTGTCCACATTCAGGCTGACCTCAGGCATGCCTGCTAGCGCACTGCTCAGGTCTTTGAACAGGCTGGTGCTTGAATCTTCTGCAAGGAGCAGCGAGAGAGGAAAAGAGTGCTGTTTAGGAGGCGTGAAAGCCCCAGGCTACTAGGAGAAGAACTGAAAATAATCCCCAAAATGTTATCCTACCAACTTCCCAGCTAGGACATTAAACACCCATGTACCCATCATTTATAGGACCACACCTCTTGCCCTAGAATCAACMTTCTTTGTTTTGGTACTAGGAATTGAATCCAAGTTGCACTATTACTGAACTAATCCCCAGTCCTTTATATTTTATTGGAAACAAGGTCTAAATTGGCCTCAAACTTGAAATCCCCTGCCTTGGAATTACAGGTATATGTCACTATACCCAGCTTGGAATTGATATTCTTCTTCTTTTTTTTTTGGTACTGGGGATTGAACTCAGGGGTACTCAACCACTAAGTCATATCCCCAGTCCCCTTTTTTGTATTTTATTTAGAGATAGGGTCTTGCTGAGTTGCTTAGGGCCTCACTAAGTTATGGAGGCTGGCTTTGAATTTGTGATCCTTCTGCCTCAGCCTCCCAAGTTGCTGGGATTACAGATGTGCACCAATGCACCCGGTTCGGAATTGACATTCTCAACAGTTCCACAACTGGCAATTTTTGCAGTTTTCTCCTTTACAAGGGTTGTCAATCAGCTGAGACTACATATTTCTGAAAAGTTTTGACCAGTAGGCCCTTTCCCTACTCTCTCACAAGGTCTGGGGCTGAACACCTGCATCTCCAAAAGTAAAGCTGGGCCAGGGGATTTTTGTTTTTTGCTTTATCTAATGTTAAATGGCTTAAACTATCTGTAAAACCCAGCAAAGTGAAATCAGTGTACTCATACTCACCTGTCAGGATTGTGTTGGGGAAGTTCCCGCAGTTGGAATATAGGTTAGGTCTCAAATGAAATGACTCCAGTTGTTCTCGATGACTTTGTTGCACCAGGGGCACCTGGAAGCATCAAAGGTCACATTGTGAGGAAGAATCTCTGCTTCTCTGAGAGAGGGAACAGTGTGATGTGCTCCCAGAACAGCACCAGGCATGCAAACTGACTCATAGTCCTTCTTTCTAGGATCTCAGAGCGCTCTGCTGACATCCTAATTAATGTAGGCATACTATTTTTTTTAATAATAACTTTATTTATTTATTTATTTGGTGCTGAGGATCAAACCCAGTGCCTCACGTGTGCTAGTCAAATGCTCTACCACTGAACCATAACACAAGCCCAAAGGCAGACTATTCTTGTCAGGTAGGCAGACCCTGCAGTGGTGGATGGATTCCTGAGGCCCACATTGTGGGTGACTTATTCCTAACCACAACTGCCCAGCCCATTATATAATCCCAAGAGATACCAACAGTCATGGTTTCTGCAGCACCTCTGGGTCTCAGACACCCCTTCTCTTCATCCTAACAAAGGCTTTTGCAAACTGCCATTGGTGGAAACCCTTCAAAAGCTTCATCTGTAACCAAGGAAGTAATGTTCTCCTTATCTCACTGGGTTCTGGAAAAATGAGAAAATGAAAGCCTTTCCCTTTAACATGGAGAAGGAGGGACCTTAGGCCATTGCCTCTCTATGATAAAACCTCTGTGAGGATTGGTTAAAATTAGGATCTACTTTAGGTACCTTTCCTAAAATTAATTTTCCAAATCATTTCTTAAAATGTCTCAAAAGGAGTTTCCATCGTTTCAGGAAAATGTTGATTCTTACCTATACTGAAATGGACTGTTTAGAAAACAGGGAGACAGAGTTGGGGTGTAGTGCAATGGTAGAGCACTTTCTTGGCCCTGGAGTCAATCCCTAGAACCATCAAAATAACCAACAAACCCCCAAAACAGAAAGGCAGGGACTATTGGTTCTTTCCAGACTTCACCATGGCCTACCTGAGAAATAGCTATCTTTGTTTTATTAAGTTCTGGAAACTGCTTAACTCTTCCTTTACTCCTTAATCCATCATGGAGTAAGCCTGATCCATACTTCCCGAACATTAAAAAATCTAGGAATACTAAAAATGATCACGGAGAGGGGCTGGGATTGTGGCTCAGCGGTACAGCGCTCGCCTAGCATGGACGGGACCTGGGTTCGATCCTCAGCACCACATAAAAATAAAGGCATTGTGTTGTGTCCATCTACACCTAAAAAAAAAAATGTTCACTGAGAGGGAGAGTCAAAAAAGTGGCTGAGGCACCGGGGTTGTGGCTCAGTGGTAGAGTGCACATGTGAGGCTCTGGGTTCGATCCTCAGTACCACATAAAAATAAATAAAATAAAGATATTGTATCCATTTACAACTACAAAAAAAAACTTWAAAAAAATTTTTTTTAAAAAGTGGCTGAATAAAAAACATCTTACAGAGGAACTATCCCCCACTCCATCCCTGGACTGGGCTTGCCTAATGTGGTCACTTACAGTGCTGGGTATTCCAATCAGGCCTGTAGGCACATTGCTGTGCCACTTTCTAAGTCTATTATTGGAGCCAGGTGCTGCCTCTTCTTGTGCCTCAATTTCCTCAACATGAGATCAATCAGTAGCTATGGTCCTTTCCAGTATTACTGATTCAATAACCCTGCTGTGACTACAGTGTAATCAAGTCTCTGGAACTTGAACTTGTTTTTCTTTTTTTTTTTTTTCCTTTTCCTGTGGAGCTAGAGAGAGAATCCAGGGCCCTGCAAATGCTAGAAAAGGACCCTACCACTGAGCTACATCCCCATCCCCAAGTCTCTGGCACTTGTTCCTCTGCTGAGTCCTGACACTGAAAAAGTAGTCAGCATCAGCATTCTATGGTGAGGGAAGGTTCCAGAGTCTTGTAGCCACAGAACACATCTGAAACCAGGGAAAGCAAGTATCACATTTATTTGGTTGTGGGGTCTACACATCGGATAGCCTAAATCATGACATTTATGTACCAAGGAAGGGAGATGCAGGGTGTGATCACCTACCTGTTGAGGAAAGGCTGAGCCTGGCCTCACAGACTGCTGGTCAAAGCCCACATCTGGGAAGAAGTTGGTCAAAGACGAGCCCTTCAGGGAATAAGGAGGTGACCATTTAGCTTGGAACTCAGAACAAAATACTCATTCCCTCCTCACCAATATTTCTGGCAAGAACTTACCTGGGACGTGAGAAGCTGGAAGTCTGATTGTGGCAGGGATGAGGCTGCCTGGGGCTGCTGGGCAGGGGGCTCTTGAGTGTGGGGCTGCTGTAGGAGAGGCTGGGTGAGCTCCTGGGGTGTGGGGTAAGGGGGTGGTGGGGATGCTTGAGCTTCTGTGGGCAAGAAGGAAAGTGGGCTTCGCTCTGAGGACACCATCTAGAAAACACACAGACAAACAATGGCTTGAATTAGCTTCTGAGTTCTAGCAGTCAGTCCTTTGGGATTAGGAAATGTCAAGATGAGAGAAAAGTCTGAGATTGTCCTCACATAGCATTCTATGCCCTGCTGTGAAAAGCTTGTTCCTGATCCCTCAAGTAAAACATCAACTGTTTTTTTTTTAAGGTGCTAGGGTACATGTGTGGGCTTCACACGTACAAGCAAGCACTGTACCATGGAGTAAATTCCCAGTCTTCCAAGTGTAACTCAAATCTTGCTTCTCCACAAAGCATTACCCATTCAATGATATTTCTATTGTCTTAAAAGATAAACAAGAAAGAATACAGCGAATTTAACCAATTTTCTCTTTGCTTTCTCTATGAAAATTATGTTTTGTATTTAATGCTACCTTCTAGTTGAAGATAGAAGGTTGAAAAAGGCACTTAGCTAAGCTGTCTTCCAAACCCCTACTAAGTCAAAACTAAACAATAAACATTAAACATCAACAAAACAATAATAAACAATACTAAAATGATAAGTAACACAGGAGAGAAGAAAATGGCAAGAAAATTTGGAAAACAGCTGAATGAGAAAGTCAAATGCTGAGTTGGCAGTGGGGAAAAAAGTGAGAGGTGATTTAATTTACATCACCAAATTCTTGAACAGCTCTGGAGCTGGGGACAGCAGGAAGCAGGAGGTGAAGCTCTGCCAGGAGGGTCTGGACAAAATTTCTATAAGGGGCAGAACTCTCACCTTACAGCCCCCCACCATGGCCTTCCTGCCACTTGCTAGGAGATTGGAGGGCTGGCCTCTGGAGAGAGTGAGGGTAGGGGACCCTAGAAGGTGAGGCTTTCTACTACAAACACATGGATTGAGAAACATCTCACCATCAGATCTTGAAACCTGTGCCTTTCTTTCCCAGATCGGTCCTCAGGATGCTAGAATCTAGACATGCCCTCGTGTCACCAGCCAAGAGAAAACCCAAAACTTAAGACATCAGAAGTTCCCCAGGAAAATGGCTGAGTTGGACAATCTATGATAAGGCACAATCAAGCTTACCCATCTACACATAGCTGCCAGTCAGCTTTTCTGTGCTATGTCCTTAACCATGAGCAGAGCCCAAGAACTATAAGGCCATGAGAGAAGCAACTGGAATGACAGAGACCAAGGTAGATACAGAGGGAGAGAAACCTAGGGAGACCTATTCAGGAGAAGTGGTTATGAAGAAACAAAATCATCACTATCATATTTAAGTTATTAAAAAATCCTTATCTGTTAAAGACATATATATTGAAATATTTTTTTTAAAGAGAGATTGAGAGAGGGAGGGAGGGAGGGAGGGAGGGAGAGGGAGAGAGGGAGAGAGAGAGAGAGAGAGAGAGAGAGAGAGAGAGAGAGAGAATTTTAATATTTATTTTTTAGTTTTCAGCAGACACAACATCTTTGTTTGTATGTGGTGCTGAGGATCGAACCTGTGCCGCACGCATGCCAGGCGAGCGCGCTACCGCTTGAGTCACATCCCCAACCCCTATATTGAAATATTTATGATGTATGCCTATATACATTTTTTGGGGTAGTTCTGGGGTTTGAGCCCAGGGGCACTCTACCACTGAGCAACATCCCCAGTCCTTTTTTTTTTTTTTTTTAAATTTGGTTTTAGCTGGAGATGGACACACAATATCTTTATAAGTTGTATGTGGTGCTGAGGATCGAACCCAGGGCTTTCCACATGCTAGGCAAGTGCAATACCGCTGAGTTACAACCTCAGCCCCACATTCCCAGCCCTTTTTACTTTTTTATGTTGAGATACTGTCTTACAAAGTTGCCAAGGTTGGCCTTGAATTTGTTGTCCTCCTGCCTCAACCTCCTGAGTCTCTGGGATTGTAGATTTCTGTGCCTGGCTCTATATCTATTTTTTTTAAAATAGAGATGTTGATAAAACAAGATAATAATGTTGACTGAGGCTGGATGACGAGTATAGGAGGATTCATTATATTAAGTTCTCTACTTATATGCAATTTGGAAAACAATCCCATCATAAAAAATAAAAATAAAAGAAACTGAAACAAAACTACCACTAAAAACCTCAAAGACATGAAAGATGATGTTGCATTCATAGAACAGGTTATGATGCTATATATAAAAAAGGAACATTCAGAGAACAAAAAAGAACTCTTGTGAATTTAAAAATGAAAGCAGAAACGAAAAACGAGTATTAAGAAACTCTTCCAGAAAGCAGAGCAAAACAAAAATGTAAGAATGTAAGGGGGGAAAAAAAGGAAAGAAAAGAAAAAGGGGGGAGGAGAGAGAAGAAAATATAAGGAGTAAAAGAGGAAAATGAAGTGTGATAGTCATACAATAGGAGTTCTAGACAGAACAGAAAACTAAAGGGAAGAAATAATTGAAGAAATAACTAAAGAAAATTTTCCAGAAATAAATGTTTCCAGACTAAAGTAACCTGACAAACACTTAGTCTCATGCATGCCACAATATCTTGAAGTTTTAGAGCACTGAGGACAAAAGACCTGGCAGGGGAGGAAAAAAAGGAAATTTGAAGTATTAAGACTCAGAGTGGAATTAGCAACTCTCAGTAGCAACTCTAAATAAAAACTGAACAGCAATGAATCAACAACTTCAAAATTCCAGGGGAAAACTATTTCAAATTCAGAATTCTATATCCAACCAAATTAATTAAATGTCAAGCAGAATAAAGTTTGTTTTTTTTTTTTTTTCTTTTTGGTACCAGGGATTGTACTTGGGGCACTTGACTATTGAGCCATATCCCCAGCCCTATTTTGTATTTTATTTACAGACAGAATCTCACTGAGTTTCTGAGGCTGGCTTTCAACTTGTAACCCTCCTGCCTCAGCTTCCTGAGCTGTTGGGATTACAGGCGTGAGTTACTGCGCCCCAGCAAAATAAAGACATTTTAAGTTAGGCAAAGTCACATGCACTCTTTCTTATAAAGCTAATAGAGGATTTACTTTTAAATTTTTTGAGAGGAGAGTCACTTAACTGCAAGAATTTGGAGCTGAATTAGTAATGCATACACAGAAAACCAGACTAACAACAATAATAAGTCATATATTTATTAACTCCCAAAGGAAAAGGAAATGTTCATTTTATTTCATAGTATACTATATGGTTTGGTTCTGACTACATTAGAAACACTAAACACTGAGTATTATTTTAACCATAGTTATAATAAATGAGAAGGGTAAGTAGTGTGTGTGTTGGGGGAAGATGAGGTTGTAAGAGAGTTGAAAGAGAACTAAGTCCTAATCTTTAAGAGTAAAATGTCACTAGATAATACCTAACACCAAAAATTTAGAACAAAATAAGGATGAAATAACATGGTCATACCAAAGAGATTAGCTAATATGGTTGAAAGTAGTAATTTTAAGCAGCCATCTCTAAGCAGTGAAAAATATAGTTAATGGGAAAGGAGAAAAGACAGCTGTTATTTCATAACAAGTTCTTTAAAACTATTTGCCTTTTAAATCATGGGCATGAATAATATCACTTTAAAAAATCTAAATATTAATCTAATGAAAGCAGTAAGAAGATTACCTTTATGTCCTAGAAAATAATCTTGCAAAATAAGACTAAAGGCAATCCAATAACAAGTACAGAATCTTCAAAAAACAGTTACAAAACAGCCTCTTTCCTTCCTTAAAATGGGATTACTCATATAGTCAAGGTCCCATAGCCAGTAACTGGTAAAGAGTGACTAATATGATCTTCTAACTTCTTCCCGTGTATTCTATCAACTCCTCCTTGCTAAACCATTATTCATTTACAGTGAAGTGGTGAGTAGTTAATGATGTTATAATGTATCTAAGGTGTGACCAATAGGTTAAAAATATATTCATTGATGGTTACCGTAAGGAGAACCACCCTAAGAGTTTAGAAAGAAAACAAAGTCAACAGTCAAAATGTGACATTTCAACTCCTGTATTTCTATAACAGGCTGTGACTTCAAAATGTGCCTCTTTCTAAACAGACTTGTTTAAGTCCTTTTATAGAGCTGTAGTCCTCACTACATCTAGTATTTCATGAACAATAAAAGTATTGTTTCTCAAAATCTGTAGTTGTAATTAGGGAAGAGGTCTAATCCCATATTGAAGCTTCAGGAAGGTTTTAAGTGTTTTCATTGGCTCTCCCCTGTGGCTTAATGTATTTATACAGTCAATAATTGATTTTCCATACCAAATTTGAAATCCTAACCTGGTTTCCTTTAGCTGTCTCAGACATATCTGGACTGTATTCTCTATACCTTACCCTTTCCCTAACACAAAATTCATGAGTTAGTAACTGAAAATTGTTCAATATATGCTTAGGAGTAATCAACACAGTAAATCTGCTATTATGCAGTCATTAATGCCTTCTGAATTATTCACACTTGTGTTCTCTCTCCTTTCACATATAAGAATGAACTGTGCATTTGAGATCTCATGGATGCTTGGACCTAATCCAAAATTGCCTAGAGAAAGCAAGCAGCTTCTAGATACTTCAGCCTGTTGTGCTGTAGTTTGTCTGTCTTTTTTTTTTTTTTTTTTACCTGGGAGGCAGGATATGGGTTCAGTGGGCTGGTTGAAGAGAGCTGTCTGCTGAAACCTTGATGTGCTTCAGGACCAGGAGAAAGTGTGAGAGGGCTGACGGGAGGCTGCCTGCGCCGAGAAGGGCCACTTAGGTTTGTGGTGGGGAGAGATGGGTTGCTAAGGGAAAATAATCGGAGCGAAGGGTGAAGAGCAGACTCGTTGGCAACTGATGTCTGTGGGTGGCTATTTAGGGAAGAGGAAAGCGCGATCTTATTGAGCGTGGCTTGAATGGAGGGGTTACTCCGAGAACTCTGGAGACCTGGAAGACAACAAATTCACAAGTTACTTGTTGTAATTTCAGACCAAATCTTTTGTTTTCCAAAGATGAAAGTTTTCTTCCCACTCTCTAGGTGTGATGATGATTTTGAACGTGATGACATTATATTACCAGAAATGTTTCAGATGTACCAATGACAAGGAAAAAATGCACCCATAGTTAAGAGGGTGCTTATCTAGCATGAGCAAGAAGAGAATTTTTCCAAAGAGGAATGAGACCTTGCAAACAACTGCTGGGAGAGCAAGACTAGGTAAGGAGAGGGGGTTGGAGGTGAAGGTTCAGTGTGCTCAGCTCCAATCTAGGGCCTGGAGACTAGGGCTGTACAACAAATGCTGTTTAGAGTCCTTAAATGCCTCTGTCTTGGGCACACTCCCTGGATCTTCTGCTGCCTTTGGATAACTTCCTTTCACTGAAAGCTGTGGCTCTCAAGAAGTCTTCCCATTGCTCTCAGGAGTCAGGAAGGGACACTCCCCCATATCTCCCTTTCTAGGGTCTCTCTCTCTTTGTTTTTCAGGCTCCTGGGAAATTGTTCGTCATAGTCTGTTCCAATTCAGGGAAAGTTTTGCTGGTCCTGTGTTTCTTTTTTCAGGGAGGGCGAATCTTAGCATGAACAAGGCAGTTTGGGAAAAGTGTTTCCATAGCACAGGCTGCTAGTCATGAGCTCCATAAAATCAGAGACCCTGTCCTATGCCCTGCTGGCTCCTTAGCACCTGGCAGGGCTCTAGTCTGGAGCAGTTTCACTCCATGAATAAAAAATGCCACTGTTGCTGCATATATCTCAACTGGCAATATCTATGTTTTAAGCTTCAGCCCATCATTCTTGTGCCAGCAGTTGAGGTGACCAGAACTGTGTGTTGTTTTGTGTTGGTAAAAAGTGAAGTGTTTGATAAAAGTTGGAAATGAACTCAGGGATTTTAGCTGGCAAAATTATTTTTTAAAGATAGGAATTTGACTATGATAAAATCCAGGTCATTATTCCACCACTCAACAATGCATGAAAAGGTCACAGATTGGGTTAGCTCAGGTAATAATTAGAGCTAAAGATTTGAATTTATATTTAAAAAAATAGTCATTTAGAAAAAAGCTCAAACATCTTTAAAAAATGTGTACCATGCATTTAAAATATTTTTAAAATTTTTATTTGTTCTTTTTTTTATAAAAATTTTTTTAGTTGTAGATGGACACAATATCTTTGTTTTATTTATTTACTTTTATGTGGTGCTGAGGATCGAACCCAATGCCTCACGAATGGGAGGCAAGTGCTCTACAATCGAGCTACAATCCCAACCTTATTTGTTCTTTTTAGTTATATATGACAGTAGAATCTATTTTGATGTTTACACAAACATGGAATATTTTATTCTAATTAGGATCCCAGTCTTGTGGATGGTACATGATGGTGAGATTCACTGTGGTGTATTCACTGTGGTATACCATGCATTTTAAGGAGTATATAGAAACTATAAAAATTTGACACTAGTTCTGTTGTGTTCTGGAAAAAAAAATGATGCTTTTTCTTTTTTCTTTTTTTGGTAGTGGGGATTGAACCCAGGGGTGCCTTACCACTGAGCTACATCCCTAGTCATTTTATTTTGAAACAGGGTCTTGTTAAGTTGCTGAAGCTGGCCTTGAACTTGTGATTCTCCCGCCTCGGCCTCCTAAGTCGCTGAGATGACATGATGCTTTTTCTGAGGATAACAGCCTATGATTAAACATGAGATTTTCAGCTTGAAGCAAAGCATCGAAACTTATTCTAAAAAACTCCAGCTTCCTCAAAACCCAGGGCAATTATGGGTGATGTTGTTGCTTTATTTCCATGACCCTGGATATCCTTGTTCACTGAGAATTCACCCCAAAATAATTTCTTAATCCACAAATCCTAAAGATTTTGAGAGCTTCTATTACGAAATAAATTAAGTAACCTCGGGGCTCTTTTCTTAAAAAAGCAGCATGGGGGCTGGGGTTGTGGCTCAGTGGCAGAGAGCTTGCCTAGCATGTGTGAGGCACTGGGTTCGATTCTCAGCACAATGTATCAATAAATAAAATAAAGGTCCATTGAAAACTGAAAAAAAAAATTCGGGCTGGGGATGTAGTCAAGCAGTAGCAAGCTCGCCTGGCATGCATGCTGCCCTCCCTGGGTTCGATCCTCAGCACCACATACAAACAAAGATGTTGGGTCTGCCGAAAACTAAAAAATAAAATATTAAAAAGTTCTCTCTCTCTCTCTTAAAAAAAAAAAAAAAGCAGCCTGGGCCCCTCAGAACACATTCCCTGAAACACTCTGGATCTTTTTTTTTTTAATTTATTTTTTAGTTAGACACAATATCTTTATTTATTTATTTTTATGTGGTGCTGAGGATCAAACCCAGGGCCTCGCATGTGCTAGGCGAGTGCTCTACTGCTGAGCCACAACCCCAGCCCCGTACTCTGGATCTTAAGTAGTGCCATGTGGCTTGGCCACTTAACTTTACATTAGATTTGCCCATATATGACTGACTTGATTTCTAAAAATTAAAACCCAGAATCAGTACATGAAAGACTTGTTTTCCCAGTACTGGAAATTAAACCCAGGAGTGCTCTACCACTGAGCTACATTCTTAGCCCTTTTTTTCCTTGCTTTTAAAAAAAATTCTAATTTGTTATATATGACATCCTCAGCTCTTTTTACTTTTTATTTTGAGACAAGGTCTGGCTAAGTTTCTGAGGCTGGCCTCAAACTTGCCATCTTCCTGCCTCAGTCTTCAGAGTCGCTGGGATTACAGGCATGTGCCACCACACTTGGCTCAAGACTCACTTATTACTTTTTTTCAAGACTAACATTATTATTATGATGATGATTATTATTATTAATATTTATTTTTTAGTTTTCAGTTGACACAACATCTTTATTTCATTTTATATGGTGCTGAGGATCGAACCCAGAGCCCTGCGCATGCCAGGTGAACGAGTTACCACTTGAGCCATATCCCCAGCCCAAGATTAACTTATTATTAAAGATAATAAAATGATAACAAAAAACACCAAACAAAAGTAAAGGTGGTCTCTGAAATCAGTTCTGCAAACCTGAAATTATGTTGTACAACAGAGCATTGCTGCCGCCATTAGAGAAGCTTCCAGGTTACTGCCCTGAAGAGGACCACTCTCATTTAAGTGGCAAGTTCTGATTTGCTTGATTAAGTCTCATTTTACTCAGAGCTGAAACCAGCAAACATTTCCTCCATCCAAACACCATTGTGAAGGGTTCCTTTCAAATGGAACGCTACACAACTTAGGAGGACCATTATGACCAGGGGCTGCACTGTACTGCTGAGAGTAGGAGGGGTTCAAATCTTCCCTAGACACTGACAAAAGTATCTGCAGGTTCTAGAAAATGTAGTCAGGTTTTGACACCAGCCCTGAGCTGTGGGCAACAACCCATGCAGTAATACCCAAGCCACATTATGGGCAGCATTTTTAAAAAATATTTATTTTTTAGTTTTAGGTGGACACAATATCTTTATTTTACATTTATGTGGTGCTGAGGATCAAATCCAGTGCCTTGTGCATGCTAGGCGAGCACTCTACCACTGAGCCACAACCCCAGCCCTATGGGCAGCATTTTAATACAGCTAATGCCATATCTTTAAGCACTTCTAAAAATTTTGAACTGTAGATTTCTATTTAATATACACATACTGAGTATAAATAATTCTATCATATCCACTATAAATTTTCTAAAATTCAAATACTCTCTTTTGAAATCCAAACAGAAATTGGAAGAATCAATAGAGATAGCTTAAATGATAAAACATCACCATACAWTGATAAGAGATGCTAACATTTTCCAGCCAACATAGAGTGGATGCTTATTTCTTGATTCCCAAATCTTCTTCCTTAAGACCACTTAATACATGGGTTTGTGACAACAATGAAGAATGAGGTTCAGCAGAGCTACCCCAGAGCTTATCAAATAGAGCAGAAATAGAACCTCCAAAGCAAATTGTCAGCAGGGAGGCACACTACCACCACTCATATTCAAAGATGCACGGAACAGATACTACATAGCTAGGGATACAAGGGATTAAGCACCAAGGAGAACAACCAAGGTCCTTCCTAAGCAGGGTATACTTACCAGAGGAGCTTCTTATCCCCAGGTGAGTCATAGCAGCTGGGAGGTTGCCCACACTATTCCCCACACTCATACTACCAAAGAGGTTGTCACTGGTATCCAGGGAGGCAGGCAGGGGCACCGAGTAATGGAGGTTGGTTAGATCTGGCAATGACCCTCCAGTGTTCAGGGTCCCCAGAAAGGGTGAGAGGCCTATGTTTTGGCCGTTATGTGGGAAAACACTAGAAAAAAAAGAAAAGAAAAGAAAGGTAAGTATTAATTTCTGCAATGCATTTGGCTGTTGTTAAATAAGAACAGTGGCTATCAAAGATCAAAGTCCTAGAGTAGGCTTTGCCTCTCCCTTGTTTGGAGAACTGGGACTGCAGGATTAATCTCTCTGAAATACAATTTCCTTACCTTTTAAACAGGAGTAATGATGTCACCTATGCCTACTGTACAGGAATATTTTAAACACCAGACTAAATTATGGATGCAAAAGCATTTTGAAAATTTTAGGCTACTATATAAAATGTGAGGCACTACTTTATATTTATAGTTATTTTTATTAGATTTATAAATCATTTATAAATTGTCTTTCCTACCTCTTCCCATTACCCCCGCCCAAAATAAAAAAAAATCTATGAGCAACAAGTGACACTGGGAGCATGAAAGCATGTGTTGTCAGTGTCAGGATGGGTTATGGAGATGAAGGCTTTGCCAAGGACATGACATAGTGTGTTCATGGAACTGCAACTGCAAGGAGCTTGGCATGGCTGAGGTGTCAAATGTCAGGGCAGAGTACAGGGAAGGGAGGGTAGCAGGAGATGGAGTGAAGAAGCAGGTAGATGGAAAAACAAGATATACTGTTTCAATTATAGTTTTCACAAACTTTAAAATGAGAAAAATCAGCCAGCACACCTGTAAATCCCAGCAATTTAGGAGGCTGAGGCAGGAGGACTACAAGTTTGAGGCCAGCCCCCAAAACTTAGCAAGACCCTGTCTTAAAATAAAATGGCTAGGGATGTAGCTGAGTGGTAGAGCACCCCTGGAGTCAATCCCCAATACAAAAAAAAAAAAAAAAAAAGGAGTGAGAAAAACTTGTTGCCATCCATCATTCATTGACATCGGTTGGCTGGTGACTGTGTGTCAGGCACTGGGCTCAGTGCTAAAGGTACAATTATGAACAAGCAAGGTTCTGTATTCACAGTCAGGCCTGCCCCTAACATTTGCAGGCCTGGGGCAAGATTATAAATGGAGGCCAGCACACCATCTGTTCCAATTTGTAGAAGTTATAAATCAAATGAACAAACCCTTAAATGAACTTTGTTCTGTTTGTACCTTGACAAATAATACCTTCATAATAGCCAGATTCAAATATAGACTTCTCCAACTTCTTAGTTCTCTGCACTAGAACACAGAGGGAGAGGCAGTCCCATCCTCAGACCACACCCCTCTCTTCCTGTCACAGCCCTGTTCTATGCCTCAGGGCACACATGTGGCTAGGATGGGGGGGAAGCCTCCACAGCCAAGCTCTGGCCACACCCTGCATCCCCCAACCATTCTGATTAGGGTGAGTGCTCTGTGGATCTCTGTGACCCCTTGGACTCCATTCCATGGGGGTGGAACCCTCTAAAAGGCAGGGCCTCCAGCCCTGTTCTGAGAGGACCCTATTCTTGGTGTTCACACACTGGCAGGAGAAACAGAATGGTCAAGCAAGCAATTGTAACATGGTAGGAAGCATGCTGTGCCAGGTTTGAAGGGGGCCGGTACAACCAGGAGTTACAAATGACACTGGGAGCACAAAAGCATGTGTTGTCAGTGTCAGGATGGGTTATGGAGGTGAAGGCTTTGCCAAGGACATGACATAGTGTGTTCAAGGAACTGCAAGGAGCTTGGCATGGCTGAGGTGTCAAATGTCAGGGCAGAGTACAGGGAAGGGAAGGTAGCAGGAGATGGAGTAGAAGAGAAAGGTGGGTAGGAAAACAGGAAGGAAGACTATGTACTGTCATGGTCTGGGTCAGGAACTATATAGCAATGAGGGAACCTAGGGCAAGCAAGAGAATGACACTGAGATATTCTACTATGGTTATAAAGTGGAAGATGGCATAAGTGAGCAGAAAGAGACAGGGAGAGAATGCTCCTGCAGTGGCCCAGGTCTGATCTAGGAAAAGAATAGTGTAATTGAAGAAGCTCTGACCACACCCAGAAAGCCCCATCAGCCAGGAACTGGGGACTGAGGACACTTCACTCAACACAGTGACACACAGTAGAGCACCAACCAGATACAACCACTAGCATTAGAGCCTGTAAGAGACTCAGACAAAGGGAGATAGCCATAAAGAACGTGGCGCAGTGTAATACAACTCAGCAGTAAAATGATAGGCTGGTAGCACCTGGTGGAGGAGGCTTCCTGGAAGACTCTGAACTGAGTTTGCAGGCTAATCCAGGCGATCTAGGCAGAAAAATCACTCCAAGAAGAGTTCACAGCATGGGCAAAAGCAGGGAGGCATGAAGCCAGCAGTGTGCCCTAGAAACTGTGAGGACTAGGCCACCACAAAGGGTCAAGTTTAGAAGGGGTAGATAGTGATGAGAGGTGAGATTGGAGGAGCAGGCCTTGAGCACCTGAGGCTGGAACTGAAAGCAGGACAAGAAGCCAGGGGAAGGCTGAAAGCAGAGGGGAGATGGATCTAGCCCTTTTTAGGGTAATGTGGCTAACAGACCTTAGGGGCAAGCACAGCCTGGAGGCAGAGACAAGCTGTGACAATGCTGAACAGTCACATGAGACATTACAACAGCATGGGGATGCAGAAGCGGGGATGGATTCTAAAGACATCTATAGAAGGTCAAGAATGGTCCCTGGGTTTCTGGCATGGGGACTGGTGGAACCACTCCCTAAGATAGGAATCCTGGAGGTGTACAAGTAGACCTGGTGTAAAGGTGGGATATGCGTAACATGATTGCTATTTTAGGCACTTTTTTTGAGGTTTTTCATATAGTATGACATATGAGGGAACCTAGGGCAAGCTAGAGAATGACATTGAGAAATTCAGTGGGATGTCTCTCACTCAGTTAAGTTCTAGAGGCGGTAAATGACATCCTCGAGGACAGTTCCATTAGAATAGTGGAGGTGGAAGCCAGGCCATGATTGGTTGAAGAGCAGATACTGGGGGGAGGAGGTGGGTAAATACTAGTTGTAAATACGGTGTGTGTGTGTGTGTGTGTGTGTGTGTGTGTGTGTGTGTGTGTGTGTGTAAATACTGGGGTTGTGGCTCGGCAGTACAGTGCTAGCCTAGCCTGAGTTCTATTCTCAGCACCACAGAAAAATAAATAAATAAAAATAAAGGTACTGTGTCCAACTATAACTAAAAAATAAATATTAAAGAAAAAAAGAGTAAATACTCAGGACTGGGCTATAGCTCAGTTGGTAGAGTGCCTGCCCCACATGCACAAGGCCCTGGGTTCAATCCCTAGAAACCACTCCTTCCACTGCCACAAACATACAGTGTGGAATAATAAAAAAATAAGCAAAAAAGTGTGGAATAATAAAAAAATAAGCAAAAGGAAGATAAGTAGAGGAAGGAGAATGAGGGAGGGACAAGGAGAGAGAATGAGGGAGGGACAAGTAACTAATATGGAGTAAGTCAAATTCTATGCATGTGTGATTTTTGTCAAAATGAACCCAACATAACTTAATGCTCTAAAAAAATAAATTTGTCTAATGTGGGAGGCCATCCTTGCACGTGATTGAGTTACCTCCCTGGCTGGGTGTGAGGCGCTCAGACACTTTTCTATGTGTTAACAGCTTTCCCCACCCTTCTTGGGTCCGAGGGCTTGTCCACGAGGAGGTGTGCTTAACCACAGCCACTGAAGATCCAAACGTCTCACCTGACCTTGGAACAATGATCCCCTTAATCTTCATTGGATGGAATTTTCCCTAGAATTTTTTGTTCCCCAATAAAAGTCCTCTCCCTGGCATGTTCTCTCTCTCTCACTGGCCTCTTCAGTAAACCTCACTACTTTAATGGGTAGCTAGAGGCTGGGGGTTCGAGGAGCCGTCCTGGAGCTGGTTTAAAGGTAAATAGAGTCTGTGTCTTTAATTTAAACTCCCTTAGGATTTCCCACATAGCCGAACCTTCATATATATTGTCTGTGCTGGCGGTGGACTAAAGTCTAAGAATTCTGGGAAGCAGAAGGAAGAAGTAGTGGAGATACCTCAGAAAGGCAAAGGGGATAAGGGTGGGGAAATAGAGAAAGCCATCCTTCTTGAATAGGAAGGACCTGTGTCCTGACAGTAAAAAAGGAGGATGGTATTCCCTAGAGTCAGCAGTAACATTCTAAACAACTTCTTGTGGGGCATGGTGGCACATGCCTGTAATCCCAGTGACTTGGAAGGCTGAGGCAGGGGGATCGCAAGTAAGAGGACAGCCTCAGCAATTTAGCGATGCCCTAAGCAACTTAGGGAGATCCTGCTCAAAATAAAAAAATAAAAAGGGCTAGGGATGTAGCTCACTGGTTAAGTGGCCCTGGGTTCAATCTCTAGTACCAAAACCAAACCAAAACAAAACCCCCAACTTCCCTGCAGATTAGAGGAAGAAAGACAAATGGTCAGTTTCCAAATATCGTTACTATCTATGAGAGTCATCAGTGGACCTGATAATAGGCAGGTAACGTTCTCCTGGCTCAAAACCCTCCAATGACTTTCATCTTCTCTGAGTAAAGTTCAGGCTAAGCCAGCCTCATTGTGTTCCACATCCAATCCTGCCTGTGGTCTGCCTGGAACCTTCTTCTCCTCACTTCATTCTAGATTATGGGCACATGTCATCCTACTAGAAAGCCCTTCCTTATCACTCATCATGGCCTATATCCTTATTTTTCTTTTTCTTTATTTCATTTCCCAACATATGACACACATACTATTGATGTGCTGATTTGTTTTTGCCTATCTTACTCCACAAGAACATTAGCTCCTTGTAAACAAGGACTTGATCTGCTTTGTTCATTGTTCTACCTGGCACCTGGAATTAGGAAGTCAATAAATATTGCATGAATAGGAGTCACTGAATGGAATGCTACCTGTAACAGAAGAACAAGAAAGCAACTTTCTTTATCTAAGAAACACTGGCTTTAACACTTCAGGGTTAACATATCATAGCTCAGTTCCATGATATCGGCCTCCAGAGCCTGGAGCATGCATTTGTCTGAAGGTTTAGCCAAAACTGTTCTTGAGGAAAATCTTGGACCTCTCTGTGGACAGGTCCTGCACCCGGGGTGGGCTGGTCTCCTTGTCCTGTTGGGTGCTTGGCAAGCTTTATGACTTTCTGAAGAGAAGATCAACTCCCTTTACAGCTCAGCAGGCTGCTAATTACTTAATTTATATTTAACCAGCCAAAAAGAATGTCTGGGTCCCAGGTATTCAGTAGGGAGTGACCTGAAGGCACTTCTGGAAAGCTTTTTTGGGGAACAATATTTAAGGATGGCTTGAAGTTGATTTAGTTCACCCACAGACCCCCTAACATGGGTTCTTGGACCAGATCATACCAGGGTCCCATTTTCACTTCACACTGTTTTGGCCCTGGAAAGACCTGCTGTTCCTGCTGTTTACCAAGTAAACAAAGAACTCGTGCATGGTAGGCAAGTGCTCTACTCCTGAGCCCCAACCCCACCCAAGACTGGCTGTTTCTGAATTGGCTTCAGTTCCGGACTGTGGAACTATATTGAGAATGCTGTGACAAAAATCCCTGCACTGATCTCTCAGTGTTCTCTCAAGACACTGCCAAGCAAGTCCCAAGGGGTCTTCTCTGTAGACCCATGGCAGAGGGTTCTTCCAGTCAGCCACAGTAGTAAGAGGTGGCATCAGTCCTTCTTTGAGTGTCTGCAAATACCTGGATTTCATTAGTGTCCTTATTCTTCCTTAGTCTAAACTTCCTCAAAACCTCTTCTTTTTAAAATTTCTTTGTACTACATATATTTTTATAAATTGCCTCAATTTGGTGGGATGAGGTACTGGGGATTGATCTTAGGGGTGCTTTACCACTGAGCCACATCTCCAGCCCTTTTTATATTTTGAGACAGGATCTCCCTAAGTTGCTTAGGGCCTCACTAAGTTGCTGAGGTAGCTTCAAACTTGTGATTCTCCTTCCTCAGGCTCCTGAGTCTCTGGGATTACGGGTGTGGGCCATCAAGTCCAGCACTGCCTCATACTTTTTAGAGAGTAAAGTTGTATAGTATGAAATTAATTAATTAATAGTTTCATAGAAAGTCTTTTTTTCATATGGCAAATCTTCCCATTTATTCATTCTCCATTTGTTTCTTCAAAATTATGGTATTTATGTACCATAAAATTTACTGTCTTACCCAATTTTAAGGGCACAGGTCAGTGGCATTAAGTACATTCACAGAACTCTCTAATCAACTTCTATATAAATGATTTCCAGGATAACTGATGCTTTCTTTTTCTCTGGCCAATGTGTCAGTAATGCCCATGTTGGGCCATAGGCAGGAGGCTGGTGGGTTCCCTTCAGCCCTTGCCTGCTTCTATGGCTGCCAGGCTAGTTGTATGCCTGCCCAGGGTCAGTTGTGTTATTCTCAAATATATTTAAGGCCATTTAATTGCTATTGCAGTTATAGAATTGAATTAATGTACATGCAATATGAGTATCAAAAGAGATGGCTGTGCTGGGCGCGGTGGTGCATGCTTGTAATCCCAGCAGCAGGAGGATCTCAAATTCAAAGCCAGCCTTGGCAAAATCGAGGTGCTAAGAAACTCAGTGAAACCTTGTCTCTGAGTAAAATACAAAATAGGGCTGGGGATGTGGCTCAGTGGTCAAATGTCCCTGAGTTCAATCTCCGGTACCAAAAAAAAAAAAAAAAAAAAAAAGGCTGTTTTTATGAAAATGCAGTTGACTTTCAATTTACACATAGTCATAAGTTTCAGAGTTCTGTGACAAAGCAGTAAGCCTTTCCTCTTAGGAAAACCTTCAGCAGAATGAACATTACTTACTTGCCACCTCCAACATCACAGGATCGAGGACGCCCTGACAGGGACTGAATCTGGGAAGAGACAAAGAAAAGTGGGCTCACTTACCGCAACGCTGAATTCAAATTTTTGAAAAGTATCTTCGTGGGGATCTTGGGACTCCAGTCAGCACAGCTAAGAGCAGTGCTCACCAACAGCAGCCTCACAGAGCACCCATTTGGGTTCTGAAGAGGCTTTTAAAATTCTTCAGCTTCCAGACACAAGGGAGATATAACAGTAATATATTCTCTTACTTTGATGCTTTATTAGTGTATCTTCTAGATGAATATTATTTCCTTCAAAAAAGCCAATATTTTATATATAGAGCTTTTAAGTAAACATTTTTTTCCCAATTGAATTGAGGATAAGAAGGAAATAGAAAAGCAAAATATGGTAAAGAAAGATGAAATGAATGTCAAAATTAAAAAATAATTCAATTAGATAAACTCTGGGGGGCAGGAGTGAGTACTATAAATCCATAAGAACTGAAAAAGATGAGCATCTCTTCTCAGAGACAGCAGCCCCTGGTCCTCAGGGGGAAAGCCTGTGATTGCTTGGCTAGAGATGTCAAAGCCATCCTCTGATAAAAGCCTCCAAAACCACTTGACCAAAAACATACCATACAACTGCTTCTCCTATGCTTAAATATGTAAATTTTAAATCATAGCTTTTTATCCCCCCAAAGATTAACATCAAATATACCTTATTAAAAATTCGTTAAGCCTACTCTAATGCTAGCAAAGACTTTGGTATGGTTGGTGGAAGAAAACGAAGCTAGACCAAAGGGATCCTAACAGGTTAAGTACAGAGACAGTATAAGTGATTACAACAGAGCATCGTTAAGGAGTGGAATAGATGAACTTTTCTTTCAAAATCAAGACAGCTTCCTTACAGGAAGGAAGGTCAAATCAAGTACTGTGGGGCCTCCCTTTCGCCCACAGTGGGTGAACAGGGTGGAGGTCAGCTAGCACAATTTTAGACACAAATGCTAAAAGGCTCATCAAAATCACAGTAAAATAGATGACTCATTTACTGGCTCCTGGAGAATACAAGTCAAAGGCCCTTGATTTTAAAAAGGATTATCTGCTGCAACAATAATTCTGGACATAAGCTGGAGACCAGAAGAAGGTGATGGCTTACAAAACACAGAGATCAGCTATGACTTGTTACCAGGTTTCAGAGCTTTTAACAACATGAATAAAATACATAGGGCTTAAAATGTTTCTTTTTTTGAATGAATAAATTCCCATGAAAATCAGGAAGTCAAAGATCAGTGTACTGATTCATCAACACAAATGTGATCATTTTTACTTGAGAAATCATTCCCAACTATATTTTTCCTCTTTGTCTCCCCACTCTCTTTTTTCCACTCCTCTTGTTTCCGCCTCTGCAGGATTTTATAATACCTCTGAAGTGCAAACATCCAGTGACAAAAAGCATAGTTAAGTACTGTTCACCCACCTCCTTGGTCTCCCATAGTTGTTTTGGCAGTGGCTTTGGAACATTTAACAGATTTTCTTCTTTCAATGGGCCAGGGAAAGATGCCACTAAAAGGGGGGAAAGAAAATTCATTGCATTAGAGAGCAGCCATCCTATCTTTGGATAAACAAATTATCTTTGTAAAAACATGATTTATTTAAAAAATATTTATTGACTGTTTACAAGGGAAAGTGCTTTCAGCATCACTGTGGGGTTGCATAGATAGTAGGCAGACATGGATTCAACTGTAAGGAATTTGTAACCTAGCCCACAGGAGGTCAACCCATAAATAACACCACTGAGAGAAGAAACCAGGGGATGCCCAGGAGAATCACTGGTACAGTGCTGCTGCCTTACAGGAAAGAATGAATCCAGGGAGGCTCTGGAGATAAATGCTCTGGGCAGCCCTTTAAAGACCCCGGGAAGACATTCCAAGGAGGAAAAATTAAGAAAAAGGCCTAAGGAGAGAGAAAATTATGGGCAACGATAGCATTGAGTAGTTCTTATCATGTGGAACATAGACTAGGTAAAAGAGTAGTTGGAAATAAAATGTAAAAGATTAAGACTAGGTAGGGAATGGCCCTGCAGCCTTGGAAAGAGTGGTAAGAAGAGGCACACAATAATCTAGGGAAGAATGAGACGGAAAATAGAAAGAGCATGTGGAAGCCATGATGGCAATGAAGGTGCTTGGTAATGGGCTAGGACAAGGAATAAAGAGGAATTAGTAACCCAGCAGATTTGAGGATGGTCACAGAACGAGGAATGCTGTTACGTTCTGGTGACCATGTAGCTCCACTGTGACTGTCAGGACTGTCTAGTCCCAACCCCATACAGCATGGATAATGGACCCCAGAAAGAAGTCACTTAAAACAGGAACCAGACTGTAAACCCAGCAACTTGGGAGGCTGAGATAAGAGGATTGCAAATTCAAGGCCAGCCTCAGCAATTTAGCAAGGCCCCAGCAACTTATTGAGGCCCCGTCTCAAAAAATAAAGAGGGCTGGCAATGTTGTTCCATGGTTAAGCACTTCTGGGTTTAATCCCCAGTGCCTAAAACAAAACAAACCAAGGGCCAAAATTTCAAAGTAATTTTGAGAAAAGTGTTTAAAATACTTTAAAATAAGTTTATTTCTATTTAATGAAACTTAGGATAAAATTACAATCACGAATTCCTAGAATTAAGTATGGATAGAGTGTATAATTCCTCTGATAGCACCGCAAGGGAATGATACAATGATCTTCATAGTTAATCTTACCAGCATCATCAGAACAATGTCATTTCTGCAAAAATAGCTCACGCTTTATCAATGTTCCCAGGTGTCTCTCAATCTTGATATTCAAATACCCCTCTCCCTCTCTTTTTAAATGGTGCTAGGGATTGACAACCTGTGATGTATGTGCTCACTCTACAATTTAAGCTGCATCCTCAGACCAAATTACTCTTTTGAAGGGCTTATTTTGTCAACATCCTTGTGGATTCTAGTCTAATCATTAATATAAACTGCTTCAGAAACTTCACAAGGACAGGGCCGGATCTATGTTTCACTGGCTGTGGGGAGAAACTTAAAATAGTGTTTGGGAAATTTGGATCCTAAAACTATCTGCCCACAAACTGGAGGACAAGAATAACAGGTCTTGAGGGCCTTTCTAAACCAGGACAATAGGAGATCAAGAAGAAAAAAGTGATCTGGGCATGGTGACACAGGCCTATAATCCCAGCAATTTGGGAAGCAGAGGCAGGAGGATTGTAAATTCAAGGCCAGCTTCAGCAATTTAATAAGTTCCTATCTTAAAAAATAAAAAGGGCTGGGGATGTAATTTAGTAGTACAGCAGCACCCCTGGGTTCAATCCCCATACAGACAAAATGGGGTGGGGGAAAGGGAGGGAGAAAGTGCTCTCATAGGTGTCGGACACTAGGAGAAGTCCTAAGGGCTGAGTCAGACTCAATGCTACCAGAGAGATAACAGGGATTGTTTTCTGTGAGAAGCTCATTATTTTTTATTTGTTTTCCACTTTTTTTTTTTTTTTTTTTTTTTGGTGGTGCTAGAGATTAAACCCAGGGCCTTATGCATGTGAGGCAAGCACTCTACCAGCTGAGCTATATCCCTAGCCCTCATTTGTTTTTCCTCCAAAATTTGATGGGAATTCTTCAAAGAATCCACGGGATATGTGTGTGTGTGTGTGTGTGTGTGTGTGTGTGTGCGCGCGCGCGCGCACTTGTACCTTCATGCAAACAACCTTGAAGGCATTTCTTCATTTCTATCCTAATGGATTAGATGCTTATTGATGTTTTCATGCTTTCATTTAATGCCTGAAACAGCTTGTTCAGAAAAGGAGTTTGCAGGATGATGAGAGACAACTGTGTCTCTCAAGCAGGATTTTCCTCATTTATCATATTACCCGTGAGCCTTATCTCTATGACATATAAATCTAATTTAGCTGTTCAGCTTCAGATCATGAAAATTAAATTTCAATTTATGAAGATTTAGGGAAAAGAAAATACTGCCTGGTCCCAAATGAATAAATGAAGTGTTGGACTCTCATTTGTCCAGGGCTTTGAGTGTCATTTCAGCAGACCTCCAGGATTATTTTAATTGGCTTTATAAAGAAACTCAGTATTGCTGTGCACAGTGGGGCATGCCTATAATCCTAGTGACTCGGGAGGCTGAGGCAGGAGGATCACGAGTTCAAACACAGCCTCAGCAACTCAGTGAGGCCCTAAGCAACTCAGCAAGACCCTGTCTCTAATAAAATATAAAAAAGAGCTGGGGATACGGCTCGGTGATTAAGCGCCCCTTGGTTCAATCTCTGGTACCCCCCCCCCCCCGCAAAAAAAAGAAGAAAAGAAACTCGGTATCTTCTTCGAAATTTATCATTTCATTTTGTGATCAATTTGCATTTTCCTTGCAATTCTTATTTAAATCTGCCAAATTACTGAATCATGAAGACTAAATGGGCAATGTTGACGAGAGAGGGATACTGGAATAACTAATTATTTAACTGATGGGTTAATTCATATTTTTATGCAGTTAAGACTTTTGTTCCCCTGCACAACCTTATGACTGTGGGGACTTGGGTAACAACGAAGCTTCACAACCTAATCACCTATTTCCTTTCTTAGAGCTTTGGTCATGGATAGTCATAATTTTCTAGAAGAGCATATCAGAATAATATAAAATCAGTGGTCATCAACCTTTGCAGGGGAGTCTTAAAAACATGAGTATTAATTAGTTCAACTGTTGAAAGAAGGTTATGCATATGAGGACCAGCATCCCACTCAAACACAGGTAAGTAAAACCGGTTCATACCTTCCCCATGTCCATCATTCTCACCATCACAGAAACCTGGTGGGAAAGAAAAAAACACTTTTATGTGGTGCTTTAATTTTCATTTATTCATGAATTAGTAACTTTCTGATTTGCAATACAATATTTTGAAAATTCTAAAGCAGTTTTAATATATCAATGCTTATTCAATGTGCTTTAGTGTTTATACTAAAATTAGATGTAGTTTGAGTCTAAAGTTGGTGCCTGTCTACTTTTCTTTTCCTTTAAAATTGTCTGTCTGAAATTTTCTTACTGCCTCTGTCCTGAGAGAACAACTTTTATGAAGCCTGAGAACCTCTCTTTGAATCAAAAAGAAGTCTGGCTTGAAACTCTTCCAAATGTGTAAGCTGGGGGAAGGTACGTATTTCTAAGAGACCATGTCACTGTCTTAGACTTAATATGGGTGTGTATAGGAACAAAGTGGAAGCTCCATGCTGGATGTTGTTAATATATATTTCTTACACAGTCAAGTTAATTTTTTTTTAAATGTACCTGGAGTCAAAGTCATTTTAAAGGGCACATGTGATAGCTATTTCCAAAGTTTTAAAAATTTGACTTGGAATAAGTTCTGGCTGAATAAAAAATATTTAATCCATGAATTATCTAGTGGAGCCTAAGGGCCAGGGCAACACTGAGAGTCCCCAGAAGCACTAAGAGATCTTTAAATTAAGCACACAGACAAAGACAGAATTTCTTTCCAGCCCATAGGAACAGAATATAAGTTAGTGATTGAAAAGTTTATTTTAGTGCACAAAAGACCTTTTGGGTAAGCTTGTTAAAATGCAGGTTCTTGGGTCCAACCCTAAAAAACGTTGACTCCAAAAGTGTGAGAACTGGCTGAGGAATCTGTCTTCAATAATCATCTCTGGGGACTCTCCTGCAGAAGGTCACTGGCTCACTCTTTAGAGAGACTTGGACTAAGCTGCCACTTACTTCATCAATAATTTAGCACCTCTAAAGAAAAGCCACGTGAACAGGAGAACCTTAAAAAGCCAAGTACAGAAAGACAAAAGATGTGGCCCTGCTGTCAGCACTGTCAAAAGGAGAGGAAGGAAAACTCTGATTCACATTTTGGCTTTTTGGGAAAGAGCAGGAAACTTGACCATTCTGATCAGTAAAATGTGACTGCCCTGGGGTGTGGTAGTGCACGCCTATAAATAATCCCAGTTACTTGGGAGGCTGAGGCAAGAGAATTTCAAGTTCAAGGCCAGTCTGGCCAACTCAGTGAGACTTTGTCTTATAATAAAAACTACAAAGAGCTGGGAGCCAGGCACAGTGGTGCACACCTGAAATCCCAGCAACTCGGGAGGCTGAGGCAGGAAGAGTTCAAAGCCTCAGCAGATTAGTGAAGTACTTAGCAGATCCTGTTTCTAAATAAAGTATAAAAAAAGGGCTGGGGATGTGGCTCAGTGGAAGCCTTTTGGGCTCAATACAAAAAAAGCGCTTTGGGGCTCAATAAAAAAAATGTAGTTATCCTACTAAGAATTTAAAACTAAGTTCTATATAGTAAATTAGTACGGTATGTGGAATAATACCATATTCAAAATACCGATTAAGACTGACTTGTCCTTGAAACATGAAGATGTAACTGAGAGCTACCATGTAAAACTGCCAGAGAGGCCATCAGATTCCCCACATGACATCCCATTAGTGCCACCCTCTCCATCAGACTGGGGCAGAAGGAAGGCTTCATGTCTGATTTAGGCATTGAGGGACATTGAGGAAGATGATAATAACAGCCACCATTATTGTGCACTTATGATGGGTCAGGCACTTCTCAAAGATGAGTTCCTGTAATCCTAGCTGGAACTCTTTGAGATAGGCGCTATTATCATGTCCGAGACCACACTGCTGGTTCTAGGACCAGGACTCCCCTGCAAAGGTTGATGAGCGCTGATTGTTATTATTCTTCTGATAAGCTCTTCTAGAAAATTATGAGTATCCATGACCATGTCCCAAAACAATTTGTTGATCCAGAAGGATTTAGACAGTTGGAAGTAAAGTTGATTATGAAATGGAGACAGGAGGAGGAGTGGGGAAGGGGTATGGAGAAGAGGGAGGAAGGGAAGAGGAAGATGTGTATGTAGGGCAGGGCAGAGGATGGGGAAGCCTGGCTGCAGCTCAAGAGGGAAGGAGTGGGAGATAAGGCTGGAGTGAAGGGTCTGCCAGTAATTGGACATGAGTTGGGGAATAAGAGGTTTTAGACACTCCTCTTGCAGAAGAATATGAGACCGACTGAAAAGAGAAAGCCTCAAGGCAGGGAAACCTGGCAGGAAACCAATATAATAGATACGAAGTGGGGTACTGGCAGTGAGTACAGAAAATAAGAAGAAGGCTTGAGATTCATTGCAGGGATAGAATGATCAGAATTTGGCTATTGTATGGGTGCAAGGGGAAGGAGAACAAGGGTCATTAAATATAACTCTTAAGTGTTATCTTAAATGACTAGAGGATGAGGATGATGATAACTGATATGTTAGCACCAAGTTAGCATAAGCAAAATGTCCAAGGATGAATTCTTCCTTGGACATTTAAATACCAGAAGATATAATTATAAATTAAGGGTTAAAAATTTAAAAAGGCGGGGCTGGGGATGTGGCTCAAGCGCTCGCCTGGCATGCGTGCGGCCCGGGTTCGATCCTCAGCACCACATACCAACAAAGATGTTGTGTCTGCCGAAAACTAAAAAATAAATATCAAAATTCTCTCTCTCTCTCTCTCTCTCTCTCTNCGAAAACTAAAAAATAAATATCAAAATTCTCTCTCTCTCTCTCTCTCTCTCTCTCTCTCTCTCTCTCTCCTTTCTCTCTCTTTAAAAAAAATGCATCCTCAGGATGTCTTTAAAAAAAAAATTAAAAAAGGAACCAGTTGTGACTGAGTATCTGAAAACAGAGGGAATTAATTCACTTCAGTCCCACAGGGCATGGGACAGCAATGACTGAGGCTGTATCTGTGTTCCAGGAATCCCCTGTGTTCCAGGGGCCTCAGAGAGCTGACCTAAGTGCATTTGAGATCACGTTCCTTCTGCACGTTCCCATGCCTGGCAAGTCTAATATAACTCCTCACATGGTCTTGATTTGAGGTACAAGAGAAGTCAAAAGGCGGATCCCTTAATCAGAGTGAGCTCTGGAATTTCAGCCTCCACATCCTGGGCCCTCCTGCCACCTCAACGACACTCCTTTTGCCCCTCTTCAGACCTGGGATGCTTGTGCCAGACAATCAAATGTCATTATTAGGCTTGCATCTCTTAGGGTTATTTAAAACCTTCTTCTTAACTCTGCAGTCAAAGTTTATTGCCAGTTGAAAGGTCACTGAGGTACAAAGAATATCAGCCCCTCTAGAGTAGGAGCAAAGGACTGTACTCCCCAAAGATGGCGATATTCAACTCCTACTGCTCTGGGTGTGAAGACAAGTCACATGCTCTTCTGTGCTTGACCCTAGACTGCTCCTTGAGAGATCAAGGCCTGCTCCAGCCCCCTCCTCCATATGCTGGCCATTAGAGGAGGGGAGTCTAGGGATAGCCCCAGGCCGTGAAGCAGGGCAAGTGTCACAGAGAGCCCTAGTGCTTGCTATCTGCATGGGTGTGCAAAATGGTAATTAAACTGCACATACTGCCAGGGAAATGGTCAACCCTTCTCTTTATAGATTCTGCCTACTTAAACAAGAAGACAGAAATTATAAAAATCCCATTTGATTGTATAAAAGTTTATTTCTGGCATTTACCACTGCTTATCACTGCTAATTATCATGCGATTTAATAACCATTACGAAAATTACTAAGCATGTATCAAACTAATGGCTTTATTTTCTGGGGACATGAACCTTCACTTATGAATGTATCAGAGTTTCCTGCTCATGTAGTTAAGCCATTGTGCAGATGCTCCCTTATCATCTGCTCCCGAAAATAACAACAACAACTAAGTGGGGTCCCTCACTATACTGAGCAAAGACTCCTAGGGAAACGTCAGTTATTATTGCTCCCACCACAGAACCTAGTTCTGGGCTCCAATTATATTTTCCCATCCCCTTTTTAATTTTTACTTTATTTGGTTGGTCCTATAAAAAGAAATACCTTTTTGTAAAGCTAGTTGATATTTTTAAAATCCTAAAGGAAAGAAAATGAAAAACTTCAATGAATTACAGGGGGAAAACACATAAAACTATTTAAAATAGCTCCCACCAACAAATAGAATTCTCCAGAAATAATTCCCATCCTTGGAGACTTGAATAATATTTTAAACACACTGGCTTTCCCATGTAAACACATCCATATTTGGATGTGTTTCTGAGTTCTGCTGTACTTGCAGGGCAGCTGCCGGAGCAGGCACACAGTTTAGACATCCAAGCTGGAGAATGGCCCACCTTCCATGGTGGTCAGATATTGTGGCCCTTTTCTAACTTCTGATTTGAAAAGGTGAAATCATCAGATTCTCATGTCAACTCAGGAGCCCTGCTTCAGAATTTTCTCCCTTCCTGTCCCCCAACCCCACCTTTTGGAACTGAGAAACTAACCAGGAGTGCTCTACCAATAAGCTCCATCCCCCGTTCTTTTTTATTTTGAGACAGGGTCTTGCTAAGTTGCTGAGGTTGGCCTCGAACTTGCCTCAGCCTCCCAGGTATTTCTTTACTTCTTTTATTATTGTTCTGCCTATCTGTATCAACATGTTTTTTTCATTTTTCTTATTCATATTCACATATTCTAACTTTGTGTGTATGTGTGGTATTGGGGTTTGAACCTAAGGGCATTCTATCACTAAGCTACATCCATAGCCTTTTTTATATTTTATTTAGAGACAGGGTCTTGCTAAGATGCTGAAGGTCTCACTAAGTTGCTGAGGCTGGCCTCTAATTTGCAATCCTCCTGCAATTCAGCCTCCCGAGTCATGTGGATCTGGCCTGGCCTGACATTTCTCATCTCAGGCTAAATCACCTTTAGTATAAATACTTTCAATTCAAGTAACCACTTTCTTTAATTACTTTCTTTTCTCTTTGCATGCAAGCCTCAAAAACTCCTTAAATTACCTATGGTTCCCTTATTCTCTTGAGGCCTTCAGTCCCTTCTGAAGAAGCGTAAACTTTGCTCAAAATGCAAAGGCCATGCAGATGTAGAAACGCATGAGTTCCAGGGCAAAGATCTATCAAGCTGGTTTGCTCCCAGTCCAGGGACACTAAGACCTGCTGTAACCACAGGTACTCCCGCTGATTACAGTCTTGGCTTTTTTAGGCTTTGTTTATATATTCCCACTACCTACCCTGAAGCTAAACTGTTCCATCTTCCCACACAACCCACTTCTATAAGTAGGGAGCAATTGACCCATATCCAATTTCAACATCTCCACCAACTTTACTCTCATATACCCGTTGTCCCACCAATTCTGAAAGACCTCATACTTTACAAGAAATCATTTAAGCAAGTGGAATCTTTTCTAAATTGTACCAAGGGAACAAATATTGCAACAATTGTTATTAAAACCCATCCCTAAGATATGCAAAAAATATAACCATGAATATTCTCCTTGGAAAGAACAGAGGCTATTAAGACTTTAGTCCAAAATAAAGAAAACTAGAAAAACTGGCACTTTAGTAAAAGAATATTTATTCCCAATCCTCTTTCTCTCAGTCTGTAGATGGAATGGATAATTCAAGATAGTAGTTCTTTCTAGATTATAAGCCCCCAAAAGGTGGGTGTGGAATGTGACTGAATGAACCAGACTCATTTCAGGTGAGAGTCAAATGTCAGTGCCTAACATGTTTTAGCAAGTGCTCTGAATGTGTGAGCCATTGTGTGTTTTCTCTGCCCTTCTCCATTATGAGGATTCCTCTGTGCCAGGGACTGTTAGGTATTAGAAAGAACGTGACCAGCAGATGTTGCCTTTGAGAAATTTCCCCTAGGAGAGTGAAAGAAGCATGTGTATGAAAAAGCAGTCAAGTGTCCCAGGTGTTAAGTCCATCTGCAATTAATACTTCAGGATGTTAGAAAGACATGGGTAGTTGGGGGCCAACAGAGACAGGAAGGTTCCAGAAGGCTACACAGAAATGCTGACTCAAGTTGAAGCTCACAGTTGAAGTGCTGGCCAGGTGGACCAGGAACCAGTTACAAGAGGAAGAGATGGGAACAGGATGAAACAGCAGAACTCCAAGGCTGACTCAGCGAATGAGGCTGGGGAGCAGAGGGAAGAGGCAGGCAAGTGCCCAATCCTGGGGTACATGTCACTCCAGAAGAGAGATCTGGACTCTTTCTCCTAGGGGTAAGTAAGTGGCACTGATGGCTTTCAGAAGGACAGGAACAAGAGTAGGACTTGGGTTCAGATGGTCTGAGTGTGCCTTTACCCCACTCCTGGTCACTCTTGGCCTTTCTCTCCTGGACTCACTCTGGCCCAAGGGAGGTAGAATGGTGATCTGAACAGCAAAATAGGGAAAGAGGGAGCAGGTAGTGCTCAGCTCCAGTTCTGCTCCCTCTCTTCCTCCTTCCCAGGGGCAAGTTTTCCTGCACAGAGCAGGCCTTCTTCTCTGCTCCTCGCTGCCCAAGTCTTGTCTGAATATTTCTCCCATAGGGGAACATCTTGCACCAGGGCTGCCAGCCACTGGAGAGTCTGCCTCATCCATTTTTTTTTGAGAGAGAGAGAATTTTTTAATATTTATTTTTTTTAGTTTTTTGGCGGACACAACATCTTTGTTTGTATGTGGTGTTGAGGATCGAACCCGGGCCGCACGCAGGCCAGGCAAGCTTGCTACCGCTTGAGCCACATCCCCAAGCCCCCGAGTCTGCCTCATCTTGAGCTTCAGTCATAAAAGGTCCAGGGATCCAGGAAAGGAAGCCATTTCCTCCAACCTGGTCTTATCAACAGAGGAGGACCCTAAGAGAACCTAACAGAAAATTGGATTGACAGGATATGAATTGGAAATAAAGAGACCAGTTAGTAAGTTATTACAAAAGTCTATGAAAAAGATAATCAGTGCCTAGAAGAAGGGCAATGCCATGAAGGAGGAGGAAGACCGAGGGCCAAGACATGCCGACAAGGGACCATTTTTCACAGAAGAAGCAAGGAAAAGATACATCCTAACTTCATCATGAACACACCCACTTCCCCTGCCATGAAATTCTCTGAAGACCACCAAACTAGGGAAGTATGTGCTCCTCATAAGCTTTTCACTCTCAGTTCCTACAGACAGAATGAGAAAGCACAGATACTGTTAGCAGGGCCCTGCATGTCTTACCCATGTATGGGGCAGGCCAGGCTGACTGGCCCCCTCCTCCATAGGGGTCCTGGGGCTTGGTGCTCAGAGCACTTGTGTGAAGAGCAGAATCAGAATTGGTCCTAAGGAAGGGAGGAGAGAGTCTGGCTGAAAAGCAGTATTCTTTGCTGAAGATTACCAACAGGAAAGAAAGGCAAGAACAACAGACTTATAATCATCCAAAAAAATGAAGGGTCAGGACCTACCTGTAATGCCTTACATCAATAGCAGTCTGAGGATCACCACTCCAAAAGATTTTAATTTATACTCACATAGCCTTATACTTTGAAGCTCAGCATGGTGAACTATTTTAACAAGGCAGTTCTCACATTCATAGCTTCCCTCTAAGACCTTCCTTTTCTTCTTTGCCACTCAGAAGATGGCTATGACACATACAATGTGCAGCTCCACTAAGTTTTCCCTATCTGAAAGTGCCCATTCCGAAGTGAAGGACCCCCCAGAAAAGGTTCTTTTAAGGTAAATGCAAGGTCAAGACTGTTTTCAAAATAACACTACAGAGTTCCTGGCCTTTCTGGTTCACCCAGTGCAGTTTTCCCAACAGCTGTGTGATATGTGAAGCCATCACAGATTGAAAGCACCAGCAGAGAAGCCCACTGCCTTCAAGAGCTTTGTAAAAGGTATAATGATGTAACTATTCTCAGCAATTTTTTTTTGTTTTGGAAAATATGATTGTGTTTCTTTAAAAGAGATATATTTATATTATTTTTGAATGCATTAACAGGTATTTTTTAAATCTCTCAATTTAAATGTTAATATCAATACATATTCACATAAACAAATATTCTTTGAGGGCTTCCATATTTTTTAAGGGTATAAAGAAGTCCTAAGACAAGAAGTATGGAAAATGCTGATCAATAGCAAATTTCTGAAATTCTCCTTTAGTTTATATAGAGCCTCTGTTTCAAGAGACAATTATTTATCTCACCCAAGGGTCAAACTGTCTGCCACAAAAAGTACATGTGAGACATGTCAAGTTAGTCTAAAATGGTTTTCTGTGGTCCAATCCAGGTGACAGCCTCATGTAACCATTAAGCCATGTGGCTTCAGACAAGGGACTAGACCAACAAGAGAAGAACCCATGTGATACAACAGGATGAGCGTGGGCTCTGGGAGCAGAGACCCAGGTTCAGCTTCCATCTCCTTTACAGATTCAAAGAAACTCAAGAGTATATCAATCAAATGCAGACAGTTGTGAAAATGTGAATATAAACTGGATATTAGATGATGTTAAAGAATTATTGTTAATTTTGTTAAATGTAATAACAGAATTTTTCTTTTCTTTTTAAGATTTCTCATTGGCCTTGTTCTGGTAAGAGATATTTGCAGGTAAAATATTTTATCTAGCCAGTTGTGGGTTGGGGTATGAAGTGGAAGGTAGAGAAGAAACAAGACTGGTGGAATGCCAATTGAGACTGAATTGAGGGATGGGCACAAGGGGCCCCTTACAATATTCTCTTTTGTGTATGTTTAAAGTTTTGCAATATTAGAAGGGATTTTGCCTTTTTAAAATTCCAGTCCTTCACATATTAGCTGAGGGAACTTGGACAACTCATTTGGCCTCTTAAAGCAGAAATTTAATACTMATTCTTGCCATGTATGAAAAAAATGACCAGATAGAACATTTACTTATGGAGAAGAATCCAAAGTGATCATGACAATTGTTGATGTTACACTTATGCTTAAGCATACACTTACGCTTCTCATGTGTCTTTTTATCCTTTTTAATCCTCATAACCATCCCATGAGTTATAATTATCTACAGATTTCAGATAAGCCAATTGAGGCAAACCGAAGTTAATCTACTCCAGACCCCATGTTCTTACACTGTACCCTGCACACTCAATAATGGTGAACTTTTTGTTTTGTTCTAACACTTCATCACAATAGGCATAAACACACTTGGCAGCCAGATAATATATAAAGAATACCAGAACAATCAAATTGTTGGGTCTTCTTTAAAATCTACTTCTAGTATGAAACAAACAGCCCACGTACCTGTTAAGTGCAGATGTTAGCCTGAACCCAGGATGCTTTTCTTCTTTCCAAGGAGGTTGCTGCCTTTAAAAACCAGAACAACATAAGCATACGAGGAAAAGAAGTTTAATCCAAAGGAGCAAAAGAGAGCCTTGGATCTGGTTTTGAGAAAAGGTCTCTACACACCTAGACCCATAACCTGAGTCACTTAAAAATGCCCCAGGCCTCATTCACTTTCTCATTATTGTGAAAACAAGGCTAGACTAAATGATTTCTCAGTACCTAGGAGCTCTAATATCCAGTATAACCACCCCAAACCTACAAGAATAGGATTAGCTAGCTGAACATATAAAACATTAACAAAAAGGGCAAATAAACATCTCTGAAAACCTTTTGAAACTGGCCAACTCCATGACTGAGTCCTCTTTAGGTGACATGAGGTCTTACTCTAGATGTGTAAAAATATTAATCCTTATCACATAACTTGATTATGTGTAGGGGGTGCATAAGCAATCCTGGATACAAATATTTTGCATTCCCGTTTGGATGGACATAAAGAGGACTATAATTGTTATAGTCATCAAGAGAATGAAACTACTACTCTGACTAATCCTACTGCTCTGGAAAGCATAAGACACTTTATTTGTTTATTTATTTATTTATTCTAATTTGTTATACATTAAGATACTTTTTATTGGATACATGTAAGAAAGTACCAGTTTGGAGATATGCTTTTTCTGATTAAAAATAATATGCTGTATTTATCCAACAAACTTGAATCCTAAGATTCTTAAAAAGATTCTTAAAGGTAATTAAAAACCTGCTCGAGATTGGGGCCAGCTGTTCCTGTCTTTATTTCCTTTTCCAGATCGGGACTATATATCAGTAGTAAGTGCTTGGTCAAGATTTGCTCAGAGAAAAGACCTCAACCCAGAAAGCAAATTTTTAAAAATATATATGTACATTCCAAATGCCTCCTAAATGAGCCTTGGTGACCTAAGAATGATATCATGGGGCTGGGGATGTGGCTCAGTAGTAGTGTGTTGCCTAGCATGTGTAAGGCCCTGGGTTTGATCCTCAGTACATATAAACACGCACAAAATCTGAAAATGAAGCCAAACAAACAGATGCAGAAGTCCTTTTCAGTTAATTTTTTGTACACAAGTACTCAAAGAGATCCAAAGTCAAATCACTGTGCAAATTACCATTTTAGGAGTTTTTTTATTCCTTTTAGTTGCTTATGAAGACACCTGAGAAAAGGCATTTATTTTTCCATGTCTCAAATAGAAGAATACCCAGACTGAGTATTCTGTTGGCAAATATATCCCAAATGTGTTTTTATTTGATTTTTAAGTAGGAAGATCTAGATTTACTTAATTTTTCACTTTATACTTTCATACAAGCCCATGATTATACATCAAAAGACTTAAAGTTTTATAAGAGAAAACCAGACTCTCTTTTATACTAAAAACTTTCCAAAACAACATTCAAGGTGAATGAAATAAAGTAAAATCATTTTAAAAATAACATCTGTATATCTTTTAAAATATCTTTTAAATGTAGCTTGCTTACCTTGGCCAACTCTCATCCAGGGGCTGTGAAGAGTAATTGGCTCCAAAAGTACTACCATCAAAGTAGAATTTTTAATAAAGGAAAAATAATGGAAAGTTGAAGCAAAATTAAGAAGCTGAAATTGTGAAGAGCTAAAAACTGTGTCTTTTGCTCTTCATCTCTACACCTGACAGTTTTTTCTTTATGCCTTCTCTTATCAACTTCCTCTAAGACAGTCTATTCTTTTATCTTCTAACCAGTGTTTTCTTTGCATGATTCATTTGAGGCATTTCTTATTTTCCGACATGCCCAGCATCTTCTGTTTTCAAGAACAACCTCCATACCCACCCCAAACCCAGTTAGGCTGCCATTCTGTGCAGGCCTCCCCATTCCATGGATGGACCCAGTCAAGGCACTTCATCTCCCTGGAAACAACCACTGGTTCAAGGATGGGCTTATGACACAAGCAGAACCAAGGAAGAATGCTTTTTTGAGGGGGTGGTACTGGGGATTGAACCCAAGGGTGCTTAACCACCATTAAGCCACATCCCCAGCCCTTTTATATATTTTATTTAGAGACAGGATCTCACTGAGAGTTGCTTAGGACCTGGTTAAATTGCTGAGGCTGACTTTGAACTCATAATCCTTCTGCCTCAGCCTCTTGAGCTGCTGGGATTACAAACATAGGCCACCCACCTAGCTGGAAGAATGCTTCTGAAGGGGGAGAAAGGAGTGCCACCAATTAAGGTGGCAAACCCCCAGGCTATTTGAGTCTGACAGCTCCCCTTGGAGAAAGCCTGCCAGTGCATGAAGTCAACACAGGGGTAGCACCACAGAACTACAGAACCCTGGATCTAGCTCTTGAATTTCTAGTGACAAGCCAATAAACCTCCTTCTTCCAAGTTAAGATGAGTTCATGATACTTATAACCAAAGACAGGTGCATTAGACTTATGGAGATACTTTCATAAATTCTGTTTTGCTCCTTGGGTCTAGCATGCCTTAGAACATGTTCCAGATAGAGTAAAAAAAATGGGATGCTGCACTGTACACACCAAGTATAGTAGAGCTATCTGCATTTAGTTAATTGTACCCAAGAGATTGTCTTAGAGCATTTTAAATCATATTGTTCTCTTGCATTGAAAACCTTTGATGATTCTCTTCCACCTGAAAGGCAAAATCAAATTTTCGCTTGGTAATTGGGCGCTCCACAATTTGGCTACACAGTACTTGTTTGCTCTTACCTCCAGCTGTCTGGGTTCCACAAATATATCCTGTTCTTCCTGCCTCTCTGCCTTTGCTAATCCATTTCCCTTTCCTCTGCTCCCATGTGGAACACAGCCTCCTCAAAGGCCTGGCTCTCCTCCTTGTCACCCTCACCAAAATCAAGTCAATTCTTTTTGTCTCTTTTATCACTGATTGGATAAAATGCACCAATAATGCTTTTGATCCCAAACCACATCCCCAGCCCTTTTTTAATTTTTATTTTGAGACAGGGTTTCACTAAGTTGCTTAGGGCCTTGCTAACTTGCTGAGGCTGGCTTTGAACTTGCAATCCTCCAGTGTTGGCCTCCCAGACCGCTAGGATTACAGGGGTGTGCCACTATACCTGGCTCCAAACTCTTCTTCTTCTTCTTCTTCTTCTTCTTCTTCTTCTTCTCTTTTTAAATATATATTTTTAGTAGTTGATGGACCTTTATTTTTATTCATTTATTTATATATGGTGCTGAGAATTGAACCCAGTGCCTGACACATGCCAGGCAAATGTCTACCACTGAGCCACAACCTCAGCCCTCCAAATACTCATTTCTTTTTTTTTTTAAATATTTGTTTTTAGTTTTAGATGGACACAATATCTTTATTGTATTTTTTTTCATATTTATTCTTAAGCTTTAGGTGGATACAATATCTTTATTTTACATTTATGTGGTGCTGAGGATCAAACCCAGTGCCTTATGCATGTTAGGCGAGTACTTTACCACTGGGCCACAACCCCAGCCCTATCTTTATTTTATTTTTTATGTGGTGCTGAGGATTGAACCCAGTGCCTCATGCATGCCAGGCAAGCACTCTACCACTGAGCCACAACCCCAGCCCCCAAACCCTTATTTCTTAAGGTAGAAATAATAAGAAGATACAAGTGCATTAAGACATCAGAAATGTGAAAATGGACACAATAAGGGTGTGCCAGGCCTATGCTGAATTTGTCCTTTAACTTAATTGTAACCATCCTGGGAAGGAGATGATTGTATCTCCTTTTTACAGTTAAACAAACTGAGGCTTAGTCCTAGAAATGCTGAGCAATCCAAGGCAGCAAGCACGGCAGATGAGGGGTCAAATGTACAGCTCACTGGCTCCAGAGTTCAAGAGCTCTTCACGAAGTCACACAGTAAAGACTGAACCAAGTGCCCAGAAAATAAACTATATATACCTGGAAGGTTCTGGGAAGAAGGACAGGTGCTAGAAAAGAAATTATCACTGGCTTGGACTTAGCGGGGAATGGGAGTCTTAATGGAGAAGGTACCTGTTGTGTATGCCTAGGCTGGGCATCTCAAGGGAATACAGAATCTGGAATTAGAAAGATATAGGTAATAATGAGTTTTTAATGATTTAGCATAAAACATTCCCTTTGCCAAGAGAAGCATTAAATTGCAGTTTCCTCTTCTAGGTATTCATTTTGTTTGTCATGTCTCATCATCTTCTTTCTTAATCTGACCCTGAGCTAATATAATAAAACAGATATTTTCAAGAAGGGCAGTTCTTCAACTTTTGCTATTAGGCTTAATGTATATGAAGTAAAGGTTAGAGCAGATCACAGGAGGAAACAGAAGAGGAAAAAGTGATAAAGAAATCCAGGGCTTGGGGCTGGGGATATGGCTCAGGCGGTAGCGCGCTTGCCTGGCATGCGTGCGGCCCGGGTTCGATCCTCAGCACCACATACCAACAAAGATGTTGTGTCTGCCGAGAACTAGAAAATAAATATTAAAAAAATTCTCTCTCTCCTCTCTCACTCTCTCTTTAAAAAAAAAAAAAAAAAAAGAAATCCAGGGCTAGGGTTGTGGCTCAGTGGTAGAGTGCTTGCCTAGCATGCACAAGGCACCGGGTTCAATCCTCAGCATCACATAAATATAAAGTAAAGATATGTGTCCACCTAAAGCTTAGGAATAAAAATTAAAAAAAAAAAAATCCAAAGGCCCTGTGAGACAATGAACACATCTGGCAAGGCCATTAGGGAGTCTCACAACCTGTGTTTAGTTGCTTTTTCTTTTCTGTAGGATTTGATGAATCTGCCCAGAAAAACTTATTTCCATGAAGCAGATGTTTACCATTTTCCTCACTACACTGCCATCCTTAAAACCATTAAGTCTGATTACACAGTATTGAGAATTCAAATTAGAATGTAGTGGCATAATTATAATGATCCAATATTGGTTATTTCAATGTTAAGCTATTAGTTAGCATTTCAACCTTCCTGATGTCTATTAACAACATGAAAATGTAGTAAATTCCTGACATTTTTCACATGATTAAGATGAGGTATCAAAAGTTAAAAGATGTAGCTGGGCACAGTGGTGCATGCCTGTAATCCCAGTGGCTTAGGAGGCTGAGGCAGGAGGATCGAAAGTTCAAAGCCAGACTTGGCAAAAGCAAGGCACTACACAATTCAGTGAGATCCTTCTCTCAATAAAATACGAAACAGGGCTGGGGATGTGGCTCAGTGACCTAGTGCTCCTGAGTTCATTCATCCCCAGTACCCACACCCCCTGCCAAAAAAAAAAAAAAAAGTTTAAAAGATGTGACCTCTGAGCTCTATTATTTCTTACTGTCTTATTTATTTTGGTAGGTATTTTTAAAGCCCAAGTGTGGGTACCAAGAGAATCACTAAAATTACAAGCTTAAAGTTAAACTCAACAAAAATAAAACTTAGAAAATATGGGGACTAATGAGCTCTTAATGATTTACCATTATTTGTAAACTTAAATTTGTTTTTAATTCAACAAGCAGCTTTGGAGGGCTTGCTAGTTGCTGGCATACAAACATAAGAGAAGCACAAGATACAGAGTGATATTTTGTTCTTTCTGGGGATAGAACACAGGGCCTTGTACATGTAGGCAAGCACTCTACCATTGAGCCACCCTTGAGCCTCCCTGCTAGCCTCCAGGATATGATTTTTTGTTTGTTTGTTTTGTTTTTTGGTACCAGAGATTGAACCCAGGGGTACTTAACCACTGAGCCATAGTCCCAGCCTTTTTTTTTTTTTAATTTTTAAGACAGGGTTTCACTAAGTTGCTTACGCTAAGTTGATGAGGCTGGTCTTGGATTTGTGATCCTCCTGCCCAGCCTCTTGAGTCACTGGGATTATAGGAATGTGCCACCATGCTTGGCTAGGGTTTTTAAGAAGTCACATTGGCTCCTTCTTTAGTACCTCCTTCAGCAGTTAAGCTTAGTTAGCTAGTTAAGTCTTAAAAAGTAAGCAAGGAAGAGGTGGGTGCAATGGATAGAAATAGAAATTGAGTCTAAAAAAATGTCCCCTTTCCTACCATGAACCTTTTATCTTCCCCTCCTTGGCTCTTCCTCCTCTGCCTTCCAACAGATGTTCCCTGAGGTCCTGCAGCTTCATTCTACAATGACTGGCATTACTTTCCAGGGATAGGATGGGAAGAAGGGACTCAGAATCACAGGGTACCAAGTAGTGTGGGAGCAGGGGGAAGCTAAAGCCTCTGACCAGTGCCCCCTTGGGTGGAGAAGCCTACCTTCACTGCATCCTTACCTTGGGACCCTCAAATCCATGCCTCTAGCTCCCAGAAGTTCTTGTGAACCACAAGTCCCTATTTCCAACTGCCTACTTGGTTTCTATTCCAAAATCACACTGGAGGCTGTAATCCCAGCAACTCAAGAACCTGAGGCAGGAGGATCACAAATTCGAGGTCAGCCTCAACAATTTAGTGAGGCCCTAAGCAATTTAGCGAGACCCTGTTTCAAAATTAAAAATAAAAAGGGCTGGGGAGGGCTGGGGTTGTGGCTTAGTGGTAGAGTTCTTGTCTAGCACATGTGAGGCCCTGGGTTCGATCCTCAGCACCACA